TAGGAATTGAAAGTTTAGGGCTTTAGGGTTTAGGGCTTTAAGGCTTTAGGGTTTTAGAGTTTAAGGGTTTAGGGCTTGAGGGCTTGAGGGTTTTGGGGTTTAGGGCTAAGGGTTTGGAGGTTGAGGTAGTTTAGGGCTGAGGGATGCTGAGGGTGTAGGGTTTAGCGTTTAGGGTTGGGGCTGTTGGGTTCAGGGTGGTTCAGGGTTTACGGTTTGAGGGCCAAGTCTCCGTTCCAGCACCGGTTAAACCGAAAGCCCGACATATCAGATACACAAACCCTTGCCGGGTCCATTCTGCAGAAATGTCGAAGTCGGTGCCCAGAGTCTAGTATAAAGGAATGATACCCAACCTGACTTGAAAACACTCGGCGCAGCTTGAATGCCCCTCCAGCTTCCGGATACCCTCACAAGGACCTAGTCGAGAGCAGTGCAGATCCTTAATGAAGCCGGGAGGCCTGTAAAGCCGTCGTTGTCACATGGGACTGAATGTAGAACGCCAGAGTGGCACTGATGGGAAGAAAGATAAACATGCCCAAGGGCATGTGCGTCACGGACAGCAGGCAGTCCTGCTGCGTTTTTGGTTTAGGTGTGCAGCTTCCCTGCAGTCCCGCAGCAAGGGGTAACGGGACGACAGCAACAACAACGACGGAAGGCCCGACTACTAATCACTACTAACTACTATTCGTCCTACTGCTGCTGTCAAAGAGGCGCACGATCATAATCATTCTACTTTCTCTAACGAAATGCTTCTGAACGTGACACGCGTCGTCGCCATTGCTGTCAATGCAGTTTGCACTCCTTCTTATGATGGTGGGTTTGGTGGTGTGGCGATGACTGTTGATGGTGATGATGAACTCTAGAACCTTAAAACCCTACACCTAAGCCCTAAAACCCTCTGCAGAGCGACAGCCATAAGTGCAGTTGAACCGATCAAATTCGAGAAACAGTCGCCCAGCTTGAGCAAGCTACAGCAACCGGCCGCTACGTCTAAGGCTCACGGCTTCAGGTCTGGTCTCCGGCCAGGTGCTTCACGAAGCTTCGGCGCACAGTCGGCAGCCCTTCGAAGGAGAACCACCCCGCCCCTTCCCCCCATGGCCCCTCTTAAGCTTTTCGGGCAAAGCTCCAGCCAGTGAAGGGATCGCCCCTGCAGTGGCTCAGAGTTTTGTATCCAGATGGCATTCTGCTCGCCGGTGAAGGCGGCAAAGAGCATCTCGTCGATGGTCACGAGCACCTTTAGACAAGACAGGACCATAGACTCATACGGAACCCTGAACCCCAAACCCCTAAACCCTAAACCCGAAACGCCTAACCCTTAAAGCCGAAACTAGGGGCGAGGCCTCACGTTTGGATTTGTGGTTCGGGCGAGTTGCGATGTGTTCGTTTACGAGGCATCTTTTGGCCGCTTGGACAGCAAATCACCAACACTGTCACCTCAAAATCCCCATATGATGTTGTATAACATGCCCCAAGTTGGCACGGCTTTGCAGGGGCTGCATAGTCAGGCATTGTCTCAAAGGAGTTCCCAATATCATGCTTTGTAAACCCTGTAGTATAGTTGCACTCCAAACCCTGCATCATTTCGTGCAGCAGCAACCCACACCTGAAAACGGCAAGCCGAAACCTCCGATGAATGGGAGAATCTAGAGCCTGAGTATTGCTTAAGCGCCCGTAGAACCCATAATAACAATTGCTGTTTCGAACGACCTCCTTCTAGCTCCATTATATTGGCAACAGAAACTACTTCTTAAGAACACTGAACAGTAGAACAGCAGGATCTTTGTACATCCTGGCTACAAACTCAAGCAAGCCTAAACTCGAGGCACTGAAAAGCGTCCTGGTCCCCTTGTGGCAAACATGACAGAGGAAAGGCGACCAAACCCTAAACGCTGAACTTACATCCTAAACCCTACGCACAGATACTCAGTCCTTTATGCACTCTCTCTTACATACCTGTACATACATATAACATATAGATATGTATATGTATATGTATATGTATATGTATGTACATACGTATGCACACAACTGCATCGGGCTTGGCTTCAAGGCTTCTCAGCTGATGGCGCCATCAGTGCCAAGCTGTTCAGAATCAGCTCCGAGATCTGCTTCACCGACAGCAGGTACTCGATTCCCACCACGAAGAACCTCGGACTTAGCGGCCTTGACAATTAGACCAGGTTTTGGGCTACTTTTCATAGCGGAGTTATAACGGGGAGGCCTGAGGACTAATATTGGTAAATAGCCTCCATGGGAGCCCTTGATGGAACTCCTCCTGTTAACCCAAGTTTCCCAAATTCGTAGGTGAGGAGGGGCAGCTGCAGAGGCTGAAGCCCGGGGCTGACTTTCTGAGAGCCCTTGATTGACAGCATAGCATTCTAAACCCTAAACCTCTGAACCCTCACACTAACACCCTAAACCCGAGGCCTTAACATGGTATACACAATGACTTTACGAGAAGCTCACGGGTTGCTTGTGGTTACAGTTGGGTTTCGGCTTCGTCGGCTTTCCCAGAACAGCCTTCCTAAACCCTAAACCCCTATACCCCTAAACCCTATACCCCTTTAAACCCGCGACACCATTAAACCCTAAACCCCCATACCCTAAACCCCTAAACCCGCGAAAGCCTAAACCCTTCAAGCCCAGGCCCTGGGCGCCCCATGATACCAAAAGCCTTCAACGCCGGGTTGCACGCACTGCAGCACGGTGCGCGGCAGCAGGTTCGTGAAAACAGTGCTAAGGCGAGTTTTCCAGGTCAGCCCCGCAATCCTTGTCCAAGATGTTAAGGCAAAGAGGCTCTTGGGCAGCTGTCTAAATGAGGGTTCCTTTTAGGGTCCTTTTCTATAAGGGTGCCGTACTTTTTTAGGGACCTAAACAGGGACCCTGATTTAAAGAGCTACCCTCTTGGAAGAGTTCAGGCTTTCGGGCTTTGGGGCTGCAGGGTGCAAGGTCTTCAGGCTTGGTTGAAGGTATAGGCCCTATACCCTAAACCCTAAACCCTATACCCTAAACCCTACACCCTAAAGCCTAAGTATAGGGGATCAACATGAGAGCCCCGCGACAGCAAGAAGGCCCAAAACACGATAGTCGTACGTCATCGTCATCATCTTCACGTCATGATCACCGGCCTCGAACCAACATACGCATCCTTCAATCTTCATCATTATTCACCAGCATCACACCATCACCATCAAAATCACCATCATCATCTTCAGGATTTTCTGAATATTAATCTTCACCGCTGTCCTCACAACAGATATCAAGACCATATCGTCGTCATAAACATGGCCGTCGTCATTGTCATCATCATCATCATCATCATCATCAGCGTCATGGCTATAGAATTCTCCCTAGTACCACCACCATTACCACTATCATCAAGACAATTGGGTAGTAACGGTAATATTCTACACTAGGTTACCTTTTAGGGTCCTTTTTGTAAGGCTACCATATAGTGGGGATCCAAAAAGGGAGCCCCAATTAGCAATGGTGTCGACGGATGCCGGTTGGGCGTTGTGTAGACCTCGGAGAACCTGCGCACCTGGTGAAGCTGCAAGTTACACAAGGGGGTTTTGGGCTCCGTGCGGCCCCCGTAAGCCCATGTCGAGGAACTCAGCAATCGCAACCATCTTGCTTTAAATAGTGTAGTATCTTCATGAATCTATGACCTTCGATGCGAAGCATGGCCAGTAGCACCATCACTACTAGAGCCACAGAAACAATCCGAGCACTCTGAAGACAACGCTTCAACCTTGCTTCCAAGCATCTCCACCGTGCAGTCGTCCTCAGCCTCAGCCCCAGGTGGGTACCTCCGAGTCTACTGATGCGGCCTCTGGCTAGGGTTTAGGGTTTAGGGTTTAAAAGTTTAGGGTTTAGGGTTTCAAAGTTTAGGGTTTAGGGTTTAAAAGTTTAGGGTTTAGGGGTTTGGGGTTTAAAAGTTTAGGGTTTAGGGTTTAAAAGTTTAGGGTTGAGGGCTTGAAAGTTTAGGGTTTAGGGTTGAAAAGTTTAGGGTTTAGGGTTGGATTGGCCGCAAGGATTCGCTTCATCTGAACCTGAAGGCAGGCAAACTTCCTCAGGTCGAAACTCACCTTGCACTTTTGGCGTCTGGGATCTGATCTCCATAGAGTCCAGCCGGGTTGCGCGGTTTAGACTTAAGTCCTCCCACTCCAAACCCTGAGCCCGAGACCTTACTCTGCAGGCTGGGGTGCTTGTAGACGATGCATGCTGCCGCCACGGCGGTGGGCAGGGTCAGGATAACATTCCACCTGAAGCTGTGGCGAAGCTTCTTAGGATGAGAACACGAACGGATTATACATCATACTGCTACATGTCACGATCTGCGGCTCCCCGTCATTAGATAGTTCCTACCATGGCGTACGACTTTATCAGCTGGCTTATGTATGTAGTTATAGATGGATGTAAACATGTTTTCGAATCAACCCTGCATGTGATAGCTCATAGCTTTGCCTGCGTACGAAGCCAAGATGACCCTTAAACCCTAAGCCAGTAAACCCTTAAATTTAAGAAAGAAAACCACGCCATCCTTCAAGCCCACCCAAGCCCACCCAACCCTAACTCCCCTGAATCCCTGAAGACGAACACCTTCGACCCCGAACTCCTAAACCTGCCAACGGAGCTTAGAGGCCTAAAGTCCTGAACCCTAAACCCTAAAATCCTGAACCCTAAAGCCCCAACACGCCCAAAACCTCCCAGACGTAATAACTCAGGCCCAAAATACCCCGAAGAGGCCCAAATCCTCGCCGAAAAAAAGGCGCCCACCCCTCCCCGCAGCGTCCCCCAAAAAAAACTGGGAGCCTAGAGGCCAGACCAGGATGCTCCGGAACTCCGTCACCGAGGCCAGGCCCCAGAGGAAGAGGATGATCAGGAGGAAGCTCCTTGTGCTTGGCTTTTTTTATTTTTTTTTTTTTGGGGGGGGTCTTTCTTTTTTGGGGGGGGGCCTAAAAGGCTTATTGATGAGGGTTTAAGGTTTAGGGGCTTTTTTGGGTTTAGGGTTGAGGGTTTAGGGTTTTTAGGGGGCTTATCTTGGGGTCTAAAAGGCTCATGAGAGGGATTAGGGTTTAGGGTTTAAGGTTTTAGGTGGCTTCTGTTGGGTCCAAAAGGCTTATTATAGGGATGAGGGTTTAAGGTTTAGGCTTGAGGGTTTAGGGTTTATAAGGCTAGGGTTTAGGGGCCAGGCTTTAGGACTCAAAAGGTTAAGGGACTAGCGTTTGGTCAACACCTTCGGGCGCAGCCCTGGTGCACATGCGAGGGTTTAGGGTTCAGGGCCAGGGTTTCGGACGTTGTGTTTCTTGATGTTTGCTTTGCTCTTGTTTGACTCGGGCAATAATCTTTACTTGTCTTTTCATTTCGCTGGTTTCACTATCATGGCTGTTGCACAAAACCTTGTTGCCATGATGTTTACTCGCTCTTTCTCTGGTCCCCGCACTGTCAGCTTCTACTTTTTAACTCCTGCGCTTCTACGAAGCAAACAAAGACAAGGATCAGCACGGTCGAGCTTTCCAAAGTAAAGCCAAGGCAAGGACAAACTGAGAAAACGGTATGAATAGTGAATAGTCTTAGCCGTCATCCCTTGAGGAGTCTGAGTTAAGAGCTTAGGGATTTAGGGATCCAGTGTCTTTTTTGTAAAACCTTATTCCCGAAGGTTACAGACCAATCAGGGGCCAGGAGGCTGGAAGGTGACGGAAGTGAGCCCGAAGACTTCGTCCTCGTACTCCCGGCTGGCCTCGAAGAATCTCCGGAATCAGCTTGGGGTGATGAGAAGGCAACAGTTTAGGGTTTTCGTTGCACCGTAGGGCGGTAGGGGACCACGGGGAGCACCGTGCTTAAAGCTTTATCTGAAAGCGCAAGATAAAAGGCGATAAGAGATGTACACATTGCACAGGACTTTCAAAAAAGCGCCCGACGGTTCGCTCCCTAACAATTGCCTCGTACCGGATTGTCTTCTTGCTCCCGACAACCTTGCCAGACTTCTTCCCACAGATGTCCGCACGCTGCTCCTGCAAGAGAGTGGGCTTCTCAGGGCCCCCCAACATCCAATAAAGTACCACTTTATACTAAAATGTGCTACAATATACGATAATGTATTACTAATCTGTACTAGAATGTACTCTAATGAAACTTTAATGCACAATAGCAGTGTCGCCGGTCTGTAACCCCGAGGCGAAGAGAAGAGGCAACAGAATCGGAAGCCCCAGGACAGGAAAGGTTACGAGTACTATCTCGCGAGCACTTCTTCGGTGCTTTGGGTGAACCCTCGGTTTGTCTGGGTTTAGGGTTTAAGGTTTAGGGTTTAGGGTTTAAGGTTTAGGGTTTAGGGTTTTTAGGGATTTTAGGGTTTAGGCAACCCCGGTGCGATCGAGGCCTCATTGTCCGAGCACCTGCGGAAGCTAGTGTAAACGAGCGAGGAAGTAGCTCAGCCTGGCATCCGTCCGACCGCAGCTGCTGCTGCTGCTACAACGACGACGACGACGACGACTACAACGACGACCACCACGACCACGACCACGACCACGACCACGACCACGACCACGACCACAACGACGACTACGACGAGACTGCGACGACAATGATGAAGACTACTACGACGACTACTGCCACTGCCGCAGCCACGCGCCTGGAGCAGCGTAGTCTGGACGGTATAGATCTGCTGGCAGAAGCTCTGAACGGCTCTTCTGCAGAGGTTCACCTGACGGGGCCCTAAAAAACCCCTGAAAAAAAAAAACACCTGAAAACCCCTCGTGTTCCAGGCATCTCTGCCTGGCCCAAGGAGGCGGTGCTTGCGATGCCGGCGACCTGGGGCGCGGGGGTTTTTCGGGGTTTTGGGGCTTAGAGGTTTAGGGTTTTTAGGATTTTTTTTGTCGTTGTTTTGGGGGTCTTTTAAGAGGCTTTAGGCTTTAGGGGTTTTTAGGGTTTAGGGTTTAGGGTTTAGGGTTTGTAGGGTTTTTAAGGGTTTCTGTGGTATTTTACAAATTTTTTGAAGGTTTTTTTGGATTGTTAGGTGTTTAAAGTTTTTTTGGTGTTTTTAGGGGTTGGGTTTTAGGGTTTTAGGGTTTACAGGTTTAGGGTTTTTAGGGGTTAGCGTTTAGGGTTGTTAGGAGTGTTTAGGGTGCTTTAAAGGTTCAGGGTTTAGGATTGTAGGGGTTGGGGTTTAGGGTTGTTTAGAGGTTATAGGGCTTTGGGCTTTTAGGGGCTTAGGGTTTAGAAGCTTAGGGTTTAGGGGTTAGGGTGTAGAGGTCTATTGTTTAGGGTCTAGCGGTTTACGGTTTAGGGTCTTAGGGTTTAGCGGTTCAGGGGTTCAGGTGTTTAGGGTTAAGGGGTTAGGGCTTAGAGGGCTTTGGGGTGTAGGGTTCAGGGCTTAGGGCTTAGAGGCTTGGGGTTTAAGGTTTAGAGGTCTAGGGGTTTAGGGCTTTAGGGGTTAGGGTTTAGGGCTTAGGGGTTTAGGGTTTAGAGGTTTCATGACAGTGTTTTCGTAGTTTCCATTGGCTCCACACGAGTTTTACAAGCGCGCGAAGCTTTCACTTGCATTTAAAGATTTAAAGTGGCAGCCAAAAAGTCATCATTATCCTCATGCCCTTAAGGGAACGTCTAGGGGATCCCAGCACTCATCATCCTAAATCCATGTTCCAATTTTCTGGGAGTCACTATAAAGCTTTCGAACGGTTTCCCAGGCGTTTAGAGGTTTGGAGCGCTTAGGGGGTTCGGAGCTGCGGACTTTTTTGTTAGTCGCCTTGGAAGACCAAAACCTCTCCGAAGTCCGAGATTACCGGAGCCCGGCAAATGAAAACAAATAAGCCCTAAACCCGAAACCCCTAAACCCCCCAAAAAAAAACCCTAAACCCTAAACCCAAAAAAGACCCTAAACCCTAAACCCCCTCCCCCCCGAAATAAAAACTAAAAAAATAAAAAGGCAAACCTTGCAACCCCTTGAACTCTTGGCTCCGAGCCTTCAGGAAGAGCGGGATGGAGGCGAGCAGGTCGAAGTCCAGGTCCTTGGTTTTTTTGGGGGCCTTCCTATTTGGGATAGGGTTTAGGGTTTAGGGGTTAGGGATAGGGTGTCGGGGTCCATTCTAGAAGAATACATCTGTACCTTCATGGCTTGATGGGTTGAGCCTGCGCGCTTCAAGATTGAATGAAGATGACAGGGTTCAAGGTCAACTCCCATAATCTGGTTAGCCCTAAACCCTAAACCCTAAACCCCTAAGCCCCTAAGCCCCCAAGCCCCTAAACCCTAAACCAACTCCTCAACCCTGCAGTCTTAAAACCTCAACCTGCAAACCCTCAATTCCCTAAATCCTTAATGCGGAGGGCCTAATGACCAAAACAAGGGCTTGCGGTATATTCTGATCATAAGAAGCTCTAAGGAGAAGAGTCCCTACCCAAACCCTTAAGCCCTCAAACCCTAAACCCTTAAACCCTAAACCCTTAAACCCTAAACCCTTAAACCCTTAAACCCTAAACCCTCAACCTCCCTTAACACTGGAACCCTAAACCCTGCGTTTTGCGGGGGCCATGGCTCTGGCAGCAGCTCCCTCCCGTCCAGGTTTCCACAGATGTCAGCCTCGGGGACGAGGCAGAAGTGGGTGTACCTCAGTGGTGTTTTTTTTTTGGGGGTGGGTTGCCGTTTAGGGGTTAAGGTTTTGGGTTTTGGGTTTTGGGGTTTGCGGCTTAGGGCCTTGGTAAGTTTGCCGGGCTCTTTCGGCTTTCCGCTTGGATCCTTTGGGCTTTGGGTTTTGGGCGTGGCGGGCTACCTCAACATCTAGCACCTGGCCTCTTTGAGGCTTTTGGGCTCAGGGCTTGGGGTTGGGAGCTTAGGGTTAGGGCTCTTTTGGGAGTTCGGCGTCTTTGCGTTTTATGGCCTTGAGGCTTGGGGGTAGACCCCTCCTAGTACCGACTCTGACTCTGACTCCAACTCCTCCTCCTGATAGTGATATGGTAGAGGTGATGGTGGTGGAGGTGGCAGTGGTGGTAGCGGTGGTAGTGGTAGCGATGGTGGTAATGGTTGTGACACTCGTGACAGTCGTAGTAGTCGCAGTAGTAGTCGTTGTCGTCGTCGTCGTACCCAGCCCCAGACCTGAAATTGCCCTACATCATGGACTGACACCCAGCCCCCAAACCGCCAAAGTCCCCGAAACCATGAAGCCCAAGACCCTAAATATCGCCTAGCCCCTAGACCCTACGAGGCACCTCGCGATCTCCCGCTCGTAGAGATCCCCAGGGATGGCCGTAAAGTTCGCGATACACTGGTGCTGCTGCGCCTCAAGAAGTAGGAGTATCATCAGGCATTGGAGTTTAGGGTTTGGGAAACCAAACCCTAAACCTCAGATTACGACCCTGAAAAGAATGAAAAGTCAAAAAAAGACGCCCCGGAAAGGTCTTATAGGGGCCCCAAAATGACGCCTGACCCCAACAAACACGCCCCAAACCCCCCATCCTAACCCCTAGACTGCAAACCTCAAGCCCGAAGCTCCCAACCCCGAAACGCCTGAACCCTCACATAGGGGCCAAACTAATTAGAGTTTGGTTGGGGCTTCTGGTAAGGTATATTCATAACAAGGAACACTAAGGAATAATATAGATAATTACTTCGGCCTCTATTTTTGACCCCCCAACCCCCATGGCCTGGCCTCTTCGAGGGCCGCTTGCATGCACAGCCGGAACTCCTTTGATACCAGGTCCTTTCGCAAGGAACTTTTAGTTACCATGGTAGGGATCTGTAGTAAAAACCCTAAACCCAAAACCCTAATATACGATGGTTTTCTTATTATGTCCTAAACCCTAAGCCCCTAAACCCTAAGTAACATGGCTTCCTTATTATGATAACTTAAGGGTTATATAGGGCTCAGGGCTCGGAGCTTCGGAGTTCAGCCATGAGTTCTGCGTAGCTCGGCGTGTTCTACTTTGGAGGGTTTAGGGCTTAGTCTAGGGCTCAGGGTTTAGATTGGGAGCGGTGTGACTAAAGTAGGTACCGCAACTAACGGCAAAATGATAGGTGGAAAAGAAGGCCAGCAACTCTACAATACAACTGTGACCCTCTCAAACAACAAGAACAAGAGCAAGAACAGGAAGAAGGAATCGCAACAGAAAGAAGGCTGTGCAAACATACGAGTGCAGTCAGACTGACATAACAACAACGGCACAGCGACAGTACGGAAAACAGTTACAGCTTGCAAGGAGCAACCGCAATGATGATGATGATGCTGATGATGATGATGATGATAGTAGCAGTGATGATGCGGATAAATATCAACACTAATGAAAATAGTAATCGTCATTTTACAATATCAATAATCATGGTAAGAATAGTAACAATAAAAAATCAATATCATACTCATGATGACCATTAGCTGCGATGCATGTTGCTGTTACTATTACTATATAGTATGTGCTATATAATGTTGCATGTGCATATACACATAATATATCTATATATATACACACACATACATAAATGTATGTGTGTGTGTATATATATATATGTATGTATACTGTCGCATTGCCGTCTGATGAACGCGAAACGCGATGATAATGTTCATTGCAATTCATTACTCGCGCTCCGTCTGACTGCGCGACGATTTGCATCATCGCCAATACTTTCGTCAGTTTGTTGTTTGCAGTGGTACAACAAAAAGTAGCAGTAACAGCAGCAGTAGCAGTAGCAGTAGCAGTAGCAGTAGCAGTAGCAGTAGCAGCAGCAGCAGCAGCAGCAGCAGCAGTAGCAGCAGCAGCAGTAGCAGCAGCAGTAAGAGTAGGAGTAGGAGTAGGA